GATCTTTTACTTTGCTAAATATCAAGGCCCTTCTCCCAGATTATAAACTCCCTGAGAGTAGTCACTGGTTTTATTTCTCTTTGAAACCCTTATAATAACTAGCACAGCACCTTGTCCATAGCAAGGATACTGTATTCCAGTTTGTCAGATCCAACTGAATGGATCAGCAGCGTCAACTTCCAGAATGTTGTCACATGCACTGAATGTTTCTACAGCTAGTTCTCCTTGGAGGTGATGGTGGTGGGGTACGTTTACCTCCCACCAGAGTCACAAACACAGTGAAACAGACAGGAACCGACACGCATCAACTGTGAGGGAACCAATTTCTTCTGAGAATGACGGAAAGTCACTGATTGATTAACCTACAAATTCAAAGGACAGATAAATGTACATGTTACACCAAAACAAAAGTAAAGTAACACAGAACTGCAAATGGCCTTAGTAAAATCAGTACAGAGAGTCATCCGACTCGTACGTACATCAACGCTCCAGAGAAGAACTAACCTGTAGATGAACAGGAATTTCTGGCTTTGTGAATATGTGTGCGTGTTTTTATTATAACAACTGTTCTGTCATGAATATTTAAGGTAAGACAGGCCATGAAGCCACAAAAGTGTTTTTAATGGGTCACTGTCATCAGTTCTACTAAGTAATTACCATTACAAATCCAAAGAATATCTTAAATGGGTAATACTGATAATCTAGATCATGGAATTGCATTGGAGGGGTATTAGCTGACTTAGGAGACTAATTATAAGGAGGTATTGAGCTGCTTACCACTCAAGTGTAAAACGATAAACCACACTGGATGGGCAGTGGCTGCCAATCAGGGTCAGGGTGGGGTAGCAAAAATAACACTGAACGAGGGTCAAGAGCCCCAGCTCTGTCATTAGCTTGGTGACCTTGGGAGCTCTTAATAAAGATTATCCCATAGGAAAAAAGCAGATCCCTTCCTTAGAGAAATACAACCATCCTCACAGCTGAAGCTGCTCATTCACAGAAAACACCCTTAAAATGCAGAAAGATCACACACACACACACACACACACACACACACCACATTCACTCACCTTTCCCAGACTAATACCTTCTTGCTTAATGGGCCAGTTTAGTACTACTATTAACCAGATGATTATAATTTGAGCAAGTGTTATCCACCCATGTCCTAAATAACAGTAGCTGACACAAAAATGATCAAACTGCTTTCTCACCCATAGAATTTATCAGCCAGAGGTCAAGGCTAAAGTTACTATATTTATTTCTGAATCTACTTTTGACCAATAATAATGATATCATTACACGGTATTTTTAAGTTTCCAAAGCCCCTGTTAACTATTTCCTTTAATCCTACTAGCCCAGGAAAGTCAATGGGACACATTTTCTGAAGTGTGCACAACTGGTGTTGGTGGGCTTTCTGAGTGCCTCCCACCTAAGCTAAATTTGGGGATACAAAAGTGATTAGGACAAGGTTCCTGATTTCAGGTTGCTCTTGGTTAGTGGTAGAGCCATCACACTGTGTTCTAATTATTTCTTTGTGCATCTTAGACGTTCTAGAGAAACACAAAGAAGAGGATTGTATTTCTACTGGAAAAAGAAGTGTGTGTGGCAGGGGGAGGGAGGCTGGACAGAGAGAGATGTAAAAGATGGCTTCACTGAGAAGGTGACTTTTTCACTGGATCAAAGTTCCCATTCTATCCGTTTCCAGGAGAAGCTCAGAGTGCTACTGAATCTCTGTGAGCTTGATATTCCTCGTCAATTACATATGGAAACAATGCTGAAGTTACAAGGAGGATGGAATTAGTTGGAGGATAGAATGAGACGGCATATGGGAGAGTAATTTGTAAATAGCAAATACCCAATAACTACAGTATTATTATTTCCACTTTGCAGAGGCGCTAACTTGGCTGCCTTAAAAGGTGAATGGCTTGCGTAAGACTGCCGCACATTCCCAACCCACTGTCCTGCCTCAGACTCTCACAGTCCTCCCCCAACACTGCCCAGTGAACTGTGGGGGACACATGGAAAGCACTCATCCTGCTAACATCTGATGGGCCCTAACATCATGTTAACATATTTATATAAATAAACATTTTAACATCTGAAGACTTTTCTGTGATATATTGCCTCTAAATCCTAAGAGGATACTCTCTATAAAAGAAAGATCCAACGGAGCATTGTAAGGGAAGAATCATGATGGGGAAAATCTTAAATATTTAATACAGGGATAAAACAGTATATACTTTTTTTGTACAAAGGATTTTAAACTACCCAAAGTTTCAGAGAATAAAATATGGCAGACACTCAACTGTTTTAAGTGATTTGACTGTGAACTTCAATAGAAAATGTTTGAATAGAAATGTGCCTTGCATTTAATAGGTACTCAACAACTGTTGAATTTAGAGATTTTGCCTGATCATTTTTACTCCTAACACTGTAATATTAAAATCCCTCCCCTCATGTATCTATAAACCTTGCTTTAAGCAAACCTATCATAGTTCATTGTTGAGTTCTTCAAAGATAATATTTTATTTAAATCTGATGAAGTCTCATCCATATAAATATGTATAGATACAATTGTTCCTCCCTCATTAATAATGGGTCTAGAAAATCTTAAGTAAAAATATGTGTATTTTTGTATGTTATACAGCATGCGTTGGTAGATGGAAATATTCAGACATTCATGGGAAATTCACAAATAGTAGTATTTTCTGAAGGCATCTATCTCTTAGTCAAGGCTCCCTAGAGAAACAGAACCAATAGGTGACAGATAAATAATAAGGAACTGACTCATGCAATTATGGAGGCTGGCAAATCCAAAACCTGCAGAGCCAGTTCCAAGGCCATCAGGCAGGAGAATTCTCTTATTCAGAGGGCCAGCCTTTTTATTCTATTCGGGACTTCAACTGATTGAATGTGGCCCACCCATTTTGGGACGAGCAATCTACTTTATTTACTCAACCAATTTAAATGTTAATTTCACCCAAAACACCCTCACAGAAACACCCAGAATAATGCTGACCAAATATTCAGGCACTCTGTGGCCCAACACGGTAACACACTAAGCTAAGCACACCATGCCCCCCCACCAAAAACAAAACAAAACAGAACAAAAACGCTGTTTTGTTTTGTTTTGTTTTCTCTAAATTTTGGTAGGAAATTAAGCACCACGGAGAAATCACTGCAACAAAACACAAAGATACCGGTTCTCTTTTTAGAGAAGAAGGCAGTATAAGCTCTTGGCGACCTGAAGACTCTGGCATACTGATTAGGATGCTTTGAATCAAAGTTCATCTTCCCCAACTCCCCCCATTATATATACTACTTGCCTTTCTAGGCCACACCTTCCTCATCTATTAAAATGGAAAAATAATAGTGTGTCCTGAACAGAGTAATTGGCAAGATTAAATGAGATGATTCCTGTAATGTATCTGTCTGTCACACAACAAGTTCTCAATAAACACTCGCTGCTGAAATAATAGTTACTGCTATAACTGTGAGTTCCAGTTCTAGGCCTTGCTGAAACCTATCAAATATGGCTCAACTGCCTTTACCGGGATATTTATTAATTTGGGAATTGTATCAGTTACTCATACACATACTTTTATCAGTTGTGGATACATAGATCATTTGGCCACAAGTACAAGTCAAACATTTAGTAACCAATCACTTCAATCAAAATAAGTTTCTGCATTTAGAAAATCCGTGATGGGGGGCAGTTAGAAATCCTAGAAGCAATGCCCCTTAAGACTATAAAGAGAAAGAGATGTGGATGCAGAACTGGGCAGAGAGTCCCCTCTACCCACTGACTAAATCTAAGTTGTGGTCAATAACTTGTGAAGAACTTGGCATTGGAGGGTAGGAGGCAGGACAAAGGAGAGGCTGTCTCTCCTGTCAACCTTACCTGACCCCACAACCAAAAAGCTCGGACTGTGAAGAGAAACTGCCTTCTGGAATGGCTTTGTCATAGTTACTGTGTGATTCAGAAGGCTCTCCTCACCAGAGGATGGTCTCAGCTTTCTCCTCTGAAACTGTGGCCCAGCAGAGAACTCTGTCCCATCTCTACTTCACCCAAAGGCTTAAAATCCTACTGCTATGAGGACAAAGGAAGAAAATGACAGCATTTGGAGAAATTCTTAAAAGTAAATGATAGAGGTTTTCCTCTCCCTCTGCCACCTCTCCCCACTCCTCCTCCTGAAAATTATGTCTGTTGCATCCTCAAGGTCAAGGTTAGACCCAGGTTGATATTCATCTTCTTCCTGATCCTGTTTGCCTATCTTTTCCAGTTCTCATTAACTGCCTCTTCCAGAATCCATAATCTATGCAGAACAAGTCACTTCAACTTCAGGGGGAGTTTGGGGGTAGAGACATCCCTCCTGTCCCCAGGACTACCTACCTCCTTTCCTCTTGCTCCTTCTCAACATTTCCTTATTCTCTCAGCCAATAGAGGAGTTCAAACATTTAAATGTGGTATCTAAACTGCATTTAAAGAATTAACCCATTTTGCCCCTCACTGCTCTAAACCCCAGGGTGCCAACCGGACTCTAATTGCTTTCATCTGGTGGGGTTCCAGACAGCTCCTCAGAAGGAAGGAGCGCACATTCCTGGCACCAATTGGCTAATTCAATTTACTTCCACGGCATTAGCCTCTGTCAGAATATTCATGAGCAGGGGAATGAGGACCCGCGGCACAGGCAGGCGGCAGCCACTCGGGCTAGGGAAGGCGCGAGGGAGGGGAGGCGGACCGCGCGCCGCGCTCCGGGGACGGTGACCGCGACGAGGCGGCTCTTCTCCCCGGCCGGGCCGAGCGCAGGGGGGCCGCGGGAGGGCGGGGCAGGGCATCCGCGGGGTTGGCGCGCCCGGCATTGCCGCCCAACTCCTGGCGACCGCGCGGAGACTTTGCGAAAGATCTGAAGGCAGAAAAGCTGTGACACTTTTGATAAGAGGGGGTAGGGGGGTGGGGGGCGGGGGCACGTCACAAGCGGGGGCGAAGGGACCCAGCGGGACACCTGCCGCCCGGCGGGGTTGGCAGCGATGTGAGCTGGACGCCCGCCCCGAAGGAATCTGGACCGAACGTCCCCGGAGAGTCGCCGGCCGTGCCAGGTAAAGGGGAGTGCTCGGGTGGGGCCCCGCGCGTTTATCCCCAGGCTCCGGAAGCGGGGCGGCGCAGGGCGCCGGGTGCCCGCTCGCTCCCGGCAGCCGCCCCCCGGCGCTGCGCTCGCTCCGTCTCCGCGCCATGCTCTCCCGGCAGGTACCAGCCGCCGCGCGAGCCTGCGGGTCGGTTGGAGTTGGACTTCCTCGGACTTTGGGGGAAGGGGATGTGAAGGAGCTTCCCGAGGTGGGAAGCTGCTTTCCGGGGCAGGGAGCTGGGGCGCAGCGGGGCAGACGGAGGACGCTGCGCGCTGGTGGCGGGGGCTGCGCGCGCGGGGGCATGGGGGACGGATGACCCAAGCGCGCGGCTCGCGGCGGCGCTTGGCCCCGGCTTCGCTCTCCTTTGCCCCGAGGGCGGCGACGCCTCCCTCTGGCTGCCGATGGGCGAAGGCTGGCTGCGTCCCCAGCTCGGGGATGCGCACCGGGAAGGGGGACCGGAGCCCAGGGCTTCGGGGAGGCTCGGGCGCCTGCGGGGCCGGTAGCAGTCCGCGCCTCTCGCCGCGTCCCCGCTCGAGCTCAGCCGTGGGAGGAGAATGTGGTGGTGACTCGGGTCCCCGCCACCTGCCGGACATCTCCAACTGCCCGGATTTCCTGTCTCCGGGCCCTGACACTCCCAAGGAAAGCTCTGAATTGCGCGCGGGGTGTTTGGGTTTTGCTCGTTGTGGTTGCCGTGGGGTGAGAGCTGGGGTGAGGAGGCTGCTAGGAGGTCGGATAGGGTGAAAGTTGCAGATTTGTAAAAGAAACGCTAACGCGGAGTCCCAGCTCGCCCTTAGCAACGGGAGAGACTGGGCTGGATTACGCTGAAGCAGGAGACGCGGCCTGGCTATCCACCTCGGGGGCGGGCGGTGGGGGGTGGAACCTGGAGGGCAGCCTGGAGGCGTTGCCAGAGCCTTTTTTGTGCTGAGAGAGAGAGGGCTGGCAGCAGAACACCTGGGGGTTGGGGGAGGGGTTGGACCCTGGTGCATTCAGGCTTTACTGTGCCTCTGGTACTGCCATTGTCATTACTATTACTATTGCTGTTGTTGTCACTGGCACAACCGCCAGGAAGTATTTTGTCTTCGGACTGTTAACTGGTCGCCTGGAAACTGAGTCTGCCCCTCCCCAAATAAAATGTCCCCCAATCCCTGCTAGTCTCTGATGTCCTCCCACCAAAGGAGATTACCTCTCAGAGCTGTGGTGGTGTCAGGGACACACAGCTAAAGAATCCGAGCTACTTAAAAACGACAGAAACAAGAAGTCGCAACTCTATACTGTGATTGCACCAATGCTAGAGACTGTACTTCTATCAGTTCACCTTGCCCAGCCTTATCTGGCTGGGGAGCAGGGTAGTCAGTGCCAATTGTGAACTCCATCTGGGACCCAGCTTTTTCCTTTCATGTATTTATACAATCTGGAAATTAATTTTTATCTTCAGGTGACCCTCGCAGCCCCAGTGGCCATGTGACCTGGCAGGGGCAGGCTCCGGTTCCCAACACTGGAGGTAGCCACAAGGGCACCTGCGGTTGCCTCCTCTTGGCTTGGCCCCTGGGGAGAGCTGGCCAGCTGATGACGGAGAAAACAGGGCAAGAGTGTGGGAGAACAGCGTGTCAGAGCTAAGCCAAGCAGAGGAGGTGAGGTCAAGCCTCACTGGCCACATCACTTCCTGCCAGAGCAAAGAGAGACAAATGAGGAGCAAGTGGGAAGTAGTATAAATTGGAAAACCAAGCTCTCCGAGTCTACTTAAGGCTGTCGCCACTGACTTTGGTGTGACCTTTCCTTTCCAGTGCTTCTGATTCTCCCTATTTGCCAATGCACGAGTAGCCATGCCTTTCTAATAGGACAGTTGTCGTGAGATGATCTAATTTCGTATCCAAAAAATGCTTGGAGCATCCTGGGAAAGGACAATCTTTAAAATACGGGATTTTAATGTTCTGTGAAAAGTTTGCTACACTGCAGGTTACGGAGATACATTTTTAGCATGTGTGCCATGTGGCAGTGTAAAATTAAAATGGAAAAGGAAAGTATAAACATAAAAATGACTTAGCATTCTTGACATTCTTGTGCATACTTGTAGAAAAATTATCTTTCATTTGGGGAGAGTTGCCCGGGAATTTAATCAGTGTTTATACTACTGAAACGCCCCCTTCTACCTTTCTCCCCTGTAAAATTTTATGACCCAGTTCTCACAGGAAAGGCAATGCGAGTGGAGTAAGTGCTGGGGGCTGAGAGGCGAGATCCAAGGGTTGTTAGGGGAACCATCACATAGCGTTTGGAGACTGGAATGGGGGAAAAAAGATGCCATCATCCTCGCAGAGCAGGGAAATGTTCTTCTGGGGGGAAAAAAAAAACAGTTGAGCAGTGCAGGGCAGCGGACCCAGCACTGGCTCTCGTCTGCTCTCAGATTCAGGAGTCCATCAGTCCAGAAAGGGCTAACCAAGGTGCTTTTTTCCTCCTTCCTTCCGTTAAGGTACTGCCTTTCTCTTGTCTAAGGATTGGCGGTAATTTCTCTATCCCTGCCTGTAGAGTAGAATAGTCTTCTCTTGCCATCTCAAAGAGATTCAGACGTATTCTCTTAGCCCCTTATATATTTGTAAATATTCCCCAAGTTCTGAAGCTTCTCCAAGACGTGCAGCTGTTGGTGAATTTAAGTAAATGGTTGGAAGTAATCAAGAGAGCCACTGAAAAGTGGGTATGTTTTCCCCTAGTGGAGAAGTTAGTGAATGCCTTTTGAGCTCGAAAATGAGCAGTTTAGAAAAGCAGGAGGGATTTCCTTGACTTCCCTCTACCCATAAACCAGCAGTTGTACTTTTCCTTCCCTCATAGTAGTGAGCACTGTTTGCTTAAGCATTTTTTACAATTTTGGACTTAAAATGGGGTTTTGCCTGGTGGTGTTCTATGGAGAGAGGAAAAATGTAAAGAGAGACGGAAGGAAGAGCTGCAGGGGCTAGAACATAAATCAGCCAGAATATATGGGGGGGTGATGAGAATAGGTCTTTTCACCCTAAAAAAAAAATGTCCACTTTGGAAGAAAAAGAAGTCTGATTATTGGCATCCGAGGCTGAAACCAAGGCAGCTGATGCCCAGAGGAGCCAAAGGGCAGTTCTTCTTAGTTTAGAAACAGCAAGACAGCCTCTGCCAAAGATTGCTGTAAACACGGAATAAAGATTTCATTGTGGGCTGCTGTGGCTAGAATAATTAGACAGTTAATTGTTCATTCTGATCTGGTGGTGTTGGAATCGGTAATGCAGCGCAGCAAAAAGAAGAGCAAGGGAGAAATAGAAAAGTAACATCACTTTTATCTTCACTCGGTTCACTGTGATGGTACTTTGGAAATCCTGGTTAGCTTTCAAAAAAAAAAAGCAATATTCATATCCCCAGAACACCGGGAACACTGCATCTGCGACCCACAGCTGCCATTTTTCCCCCTCCAGGTTCTACTCTGGTTACAGGCAAAATACGGCATCTTCTAAAACAGCATGAGGAACTACAGCAGGAATGAATGCATGAGGTCATCCCGGTGTCAGTTACTAGATTTTGGTTAGGTGCGAACCTTAGTAGCAACTCAGTCAAAATATATGCAAATAGCACCAAATTTTTGTGCTTCCCCCTTTTTCCACAGGCATTTGAAGTGTAAAAAGTAAATATTCCATTTTTGACATTTAATTATTTTCTATTGTGAAACAAATTGCCTAGTGATTAATCTTTCACATTTAATTGAAGAAATAGCCTCCTCTGTATTTTTATGCTAATTTAGAGACAAAACATTTTAAGTGATAAAGGTGATTTTAAGCAGCTGAGCATCTAGTTATTATAGGCAGTAGACTGTGACTTATTGTTATTTACTAAAAGATGGCACTGTCATAAATTCCTACTAAAATGACTTCTGCAAATAAGAAATGAGTAAGGGATTGTGGAGAGCATTAAGTACTTGGTATGGGGGGGGGGTGGGAAGGAAGAACGATGTATTTATTCATCAGGTTTAAACCGTCCCTGAATCCTCATATTGACATGGATTATGGAGCAAAGTTCTCATTATTCAAATTAAAAGAAAAAAAAAAGAACATCTTTAAGTGTCAACATTAAGTATAACTGTTCTGTGAATAAAAGCACTATGTTAGAAAGTAAGCATCCTAAATTACATAAGGTCATAAAGTCTCATGAAAAGAAATACTTCATTTCTCCAAGATATGCATTTGGTCTCAATTTGTTAAAGAGGTACAAAAACTACCTTTACCAACCTTCAGTTTTTTACCCATCATGAATCAAAAGGGATTGCAAAGGCAGAATACTTAGTATTAAAAAGCATAAGTGGTACAAAATTATGGAACTATCTAGCTTGCAAATGACAAAATCTACTTTACAAAACGCACTGTCTACAGCAATTAAAAATAGAAAATCATATCGCCACATTAAATTATGGCAACAACCCATTTTAAAGAGAAATTTAGTCTTTTCTCATTTAATTGCTATTCATGGTTTGCTAAATAGTTTTTCAGAATAACCTGCCAATCTCCTGCTAACCAGGACTGTCTAGTTAAGAACGTTCCTAATTACATATGGATTAACTTAATTTTAGAACCCTAAAAATATTCAACTCAAAGCATTACTCAAGTGCAATGCAAACTAGAAACAGTCCAATTCCCCTCAAGGTATATCCAATTTTTTTTAAGTTTAAGGAACCATAAAGAGAATACATTTGGTATGGGAATACATCAGTTAATAACTACAATAAAAGAGTAAGGGAAGCTATAAACTGGTCGATCTTTTTAAAATATGCAAAGTAAAGTTGTAACAGTATCACTCATTTCTTCTTCCAAAGCAGTAAGGGCAGGTCATGTCCTACAAAGTACAATGTCAAATACATGCACACAGACCTGCCTGAGATGGGCATATTTTTTTATTTATAAGAATGTTTAACAATCTAATTAAAAGTTTGGCCCCTATTCCAACTAATGCCTCGACCGTGTTGAGAG